TGAAAGACAAGCAATAAGAAAGATTTACATTTATTTTCTTGTTGAAATTTTCTGGAATATTATCTTTAAAGTAGGAAAATTTAAATCAGTGAATTTAATAGATTATTTATACAGTACTTACATTTGCAGTAAGAGTTTTGAAGAACAAAATATAGCTTAAATTAAAAAAAGGAAATGGCCGCACAAAAATTGCGTGATAATACAAGAAATTTTTTTACCAAAGAATTACGAAATAATTCATTTTTTTACAAAATAATTTGTGCATTAACTGTAAATCATCCTAAAAATGTCAATCTTTTCCATGGAAATTTCACTATGTGTGGACTGTAACCATCTTAATGATGGTTCCACTGACTATTCCCGAGAAATCCCTTAATGTTTCCCGTAATTTGTAACGTTTGAATATAATCTGTTATTCTTGAAATATTATTTCTAGGATATTTTAATTTTTTTTTACTTTTTTTACCTATTTTTTTCAAATAGGTCATATTGACATGGAATTCCACATCGTCCGGATCTGTCTCCAGCGAATAAATTGTATTTTACATAATGAGATCTTTTTATGGTTAATATTTCAGACCTATCTGAATCTCCTATATAATCATAATTTATTAGTGTTCTTCCATGGAAATTTCACTATGTTTTGACTGTCGCCATCTTAATGATGGTTCCACTGACTATTCCCGGGAAATCTCTTAATGTTTCCCGTAATTTGTAATGTTTGAATACAATTTTTTACTCTCGAAATATTATTTCTAGGATATTTTAATTTTTTTTTACTTTTTTTTTACCTATTTTTTTCAAATAGGTCACATTGACATGAAATTCCACATCGTCCGGATCTGTCTCCCGCAAATAAATTGTATTTGACATAATGAGATCTATTTATGGTTAATATTTCAGACCTATCTGAATCTCCTATATAATCATAATTTATTAGTGTTCTTAAATATATGATTTTCTGAGCAAGGATCTGAAAAATTGGAAAAGGACTATTTAAATATACGTACTATTTAAATTTTATATTTGAAAGTCACAAAATAAAAAAATAGATTACAATTCTAATATAAAATAAGGACGCAAAAGTTGAACAAGGATTCGAAATAGAAGGAAAATTTATTTTACAAAAATATTCTTCATTGGATTTGACTGTGTTTCTTTTTTTTAAATAACCTGCAATAGTTATAAGCAAAAAAATCATCACTCCATAACACCAAAAGAGTACCTTTAGCAAATTTGTACATATGGTTCTTAATATACTCGCCATACGGGATTTTCCACACCCTAGACCATGACCTCCATTTTGTGTTACAGTCATTAGCAAAAAATTATCATGTCAAACTCGAAATAGTGTAATAATATACTCGTATTATACTCATATTTTTATTGATCCTCTTTATACCTTTCGTTCATTTATAATAGGAATTTCCAAACCTAACTCCTTATCTAAAATTCACACTCCTATGACGATCCTTAATTTCAAAATTCCAGCTCTTTACTATATCAATTGTACAAAATTAAATATTATTATTATTAAATTAAATATTATATTATATGAGATTTACAAAATCTCACACTTACCCCAATCGCATATACGAATGATTCCTGTACCCCAATTCTTAATATTCGAAATCGATTTTGTGCTAATTTCCGAAATAATCTCCGTTCTCTTATTCCCAAAGGAAGAAACTGGTTGGACCCAAATTTTAGATATCGCAATATTTCATTAAAACATAAATCACGTTCGAAGATATACAGCATTGGTCCACTCTGCCTTAACAATTTACTGTTCAAAAGATTGCTGAAAAAATTATTTATAATAACATGCCAATGAAATTTCATATCCGAAGATTAGCCTTTTTGGCCTACACACAAAGTGTTACAATTTTGAAATTCGGAATTTACGCAAACATTTGACGTCGTAATATTTTTTCGTCCATTTCTAATCAAAAGCAATAATTCCACACTTAGTAAATATTGGTCCATAAGTGCGACCGGCTCTATAATCATAATTTATAATGGACAGTCCTACTATGTGCCAGGAATCAACATTTTTGGCAAAAAGTCCATATCTGGTACAGAGAGAAAAAAGGGTTATATATTTAAAATTTGGGGACTTTTAATTTAACACCAATTTCGTATTTAAAACTGTAAGCAGTGAACATTGAAGCAGTGATTTTCGAATCAATATCAGAAAACTTATTAATGATATTTGCGTACATCAGCGAATATTGTTTCAAAATCATGGGTGCTGGAATTTGGCATAGGTTTGTCTTTTGTCTGCAGGTAGGTCATGTTCGAAGATGGGCATTTATGATCAACTTTGGCAAAGGTCATTTATTTGGCCCAAGGACGAACTCCATAGAATCGGTTCAGATTTATATATAACCCCCATATATAGTTTCGTCCGATCTTAAGTAAATGGTGCACCAAAGACCCAAAATTTAGTGGCACAAAATTTTGCACAGCGTACTGAATTAGGTCCAGATTAGCGTATGCGAAGTTTGGCTGAAATCGGTTCAGATTTAAATATAGCTTCCATATATAGTTTCGTCCAATTTTAAGTAAATGGTGCACCAAACACCCAATGTATGTTTTCTACAAAAGTTTGCACAGCGTACTGAATTAAGCCCAGATAAATGTATGCGAAGTTTCGTTGAAATCGGTTCAGATGTAGATATAACTCTCATTTATAGTTTCATCCGATTTTAAGAAAATGGTGCACCAAAGATCCATTCTTAGTGCGATTGACACAAAATTTTGCACAGCGCACTGAATCAGGTCCAGATTGATGTATACTAAGTTTTGTTGAAATCGGCTCAGATTTAGATATAGCCCCCAAGGCCCAAACTTAGCCTGATTATTATAAAACGTGTGCCAAATTTGGTTGAAATTGGTTCAGAATTGGATATAGCTCCCATATATATTTTCGTCCGATTTTAAGTAAATGATCCGATTGGCACACAATTGTGCACAACGTACTGAAATTTGTATAGTCTAACGTGTGATAAGTTGCTTAGAAATTGGGTCTGATTTGGATAAAATGTCCACATATATTTTGTTTTGTCCGATTTTAAGTAAATGGTGCACCAAACTCCTAATGTTTGACAGATTGACACGAAATGTTGCACAACGTACAAAATTGAGCATAGAATGACGTTATTGCATTTCGAAGAAATGCAGACATAGCAAATATATATTTTCGACCGATTTCATGTTAATTGGCCTCCAAATATTCAACTAGTGTCTGATTTGGATTTGCTTTAAATCGATTTACATAATTTTATATATGTCCATTGATGTCAATGTTCCTTTCAAACGGCTACATCTGCTAGAATACATCGGTTGAATATATCCAAAGTGGTGAAGGGTATAATATAGTCGATGGGTATAATATTGTGAAGGTGGTGAAGGGTATAATATAGTCGACCCTGTCCAACTCCACTACGTGTATTACTGGTTTTATATTAAACTCATTTTGTTTCGCATGTTAGGGTCCTCGCAGTGTGAGAAACTTTATTGGAAATGTCAATAGCCTATGTTAAATTTTTTAGGAAAAATTTTCATCAAAAGTTATTGCAATTTAGACCAAAAAATATATTTTTCAGGAAATGCGTTCAAATTCCGGAAAAACCAATATTTTTGATTTATGCTCGATATTATGAAATCTTTTTTTCGTTTTTCTCTTTTATTTGAAGTATGATATGATTCTTCCCTGCATATACCCAAAGTGTAAAAACTGTTTTTTGTAGATTTTTTTTTTTTTTTGTTCTACAATTCATGATTTGTGATAGAAGTGTCGATTTTTTAGTTCCACAAAACTATAATCAATAATTTTTGGCATGGTGTTTATAATCATAAAATAATAAATTCAGTTCATTTATTGAAACCTTTTTAAAAATAAAACATATCCAATATAATCGGTTTTCATTCACATTTATTTAGAAAACACTTGAACTACATTACGAAATAATTTCACCAAAGCAAATACAAAATATTTTAAGGGTGCTTTAAATTATGATTTTTATTAAAGAAATTATTTTTATTTAGTTTTTAGCTCCGTAAAACATATTAATTTATGACTCATATATTTTTATATATATATTTTTTTCATTATAACTAAATGGGGATGAGATTTAATTTACTTTTTTTTTATTTCTCACAAAAGCTCTTAAAATGAATTCATCTTCAACTATTTTCAACTACACAGAACGTTCTGAAGAAACTATTTTTGTTTTGTGTTAACATTTTTCTCTATATTGTTCTTACACACTATAAAGTTATTTAATTTTTTCTTTTTGTTGTCTTGAACTATTCCATTTGAAGTGTTTTTGCTGTTGGGTTTCAAAGCTAATTTGTTGTTTGGTGTTTTTTGCCAAAGCAGCACCAGCTGTTAAATTTTCTATTAGCTTAGCTTGCAGTGGAAGGCTTCCTTTTTTGTTTTGTTTTACTTCTCTACATTGTTTAAGAAAATATTTTTAAAAATGTTTAATAATTTTTTGGTTGTTTCACTTATTTTCTTCTTCCGGAGCTTCATTTTTGCTATCCTCAATGGCTGGCTTTTCTTCTGCCTCTTTCGATCCGAAATATGTTTCAGTTTCCATAATTTCAATATCGCGTTCAACATCATCCAGGGGTAGTGGAGCCGCCACTATTATGGTTAAAATACCATCTTTAGAAAGGGTTGCCTTTGCTGTTGTGGCATCATAGTTACGTGGCAATTTATATTTTCGTGTGAATTGCCTGGTAATACACAAGGCTGGTGACTTTTTGGCCCTTTCATCTTTATGTCGACCTTCCAATATCATTACATCGTTGTTCTTCACCTTCAGCTTCAGTTCGTCACCCTTAAAGTGATGGACATCAATGACCACTTTGAATGTGCCTTTGCCACATGTGTCATCCTCCTCACCAGTTTCCACATAAACTCGATCTGTTAGACACGAATGATGACACCAATCCGGCAGGGCATAGCTGCAGTCATAGTGTGGACAACTCCATAGGTAACTTGTTCTATACCTTGGGCCAAAACCACCAAATCCACCACCGCATTTGCTGTGATAGAAAAACGGATCCCATGTGGAACGATGCCAATGATGATCAAAATACCAATCACAATCCCAGTGCATTCTCCTCCAAATTATCGACCGAACCGATGATGACCTTCTCCAATCTTAACTCTAAACTAAGTTGTCTACACTAATCTACAATTTAATTCGTTCGTTTTGCCAACGTAAACGTTTGACAAACGAATCTTTTTTGGTGCGGTAACCAAAAAAATTGTTGTCTCCGCACGCGGCTCCGGTTTAGATCGTACTAAATTGTTGTTTTGTCGCAGCGCTACGTAGGTAAACTTTTCATTATATTTTATTAGTTTGTATTATTCTTTTTTGGAGAGGGGGAATAGTCCATAAATTCCATCGTACCAGGAGAGCTTTGTAAGAATATGGATATTGGAATGCAAATGCAAAACAATGGCAGCCTTGGCAACCAAAGTTGCACGAACCCAGTCAAATAAACAAAATGAAGCAGCAACAACAACAACGACACCACTTTACATTCACTTCCGATTTCGTAAAAGAAATTCTGTTTTATATTGAATTGTGTTTGGCATTTCAAGAGTTAGTAGTTGTTGTCGAGATATAACTTGTTTGTAAAATATTGCAAATAGGAAGTAAAAGTTCTTAGTTGTATAAAAATTAAATACAAGAGTTACCAACATTTCGTAATTGAATTAAAATGTGGAATACATTTTTTGCATTAGTTAAATCCGCTGGGAGAGAAAAAACAAGGGATAACTTGAAGCGGTCATAGAGTTTTATTTTATCATATGTGAAAACGAAGATCCAACTTGCGAAGAGAGAAATTAAATGTTGGAAAATTCTCCTACGACCTTCAGCATACCGAAAATTAGCCGGAACTGTATATGTCAATACATAGACATATATCGGAAATGTTCAGGAGAATATAGTTTACCCATCAAGATCTCGGAATGAGAAATAAAGCCATTTCGGTTGAAAAATGTTTATACATTTAATGAGGTTGTACCTTTATATGGCGCTATGCAAAAAACGGACCTAAGTTCAATATTTACGCCATAGATATATTTCACTCCATTTAGTTGGATATGTGTTTAGTACCAACTATAGCGGTACAAAATAGGAATTCCGAACATTTTTGGTCGGAAGATTTTCTACCTAATGCAAATTATAAGTAACTAGTTAGAGCCAATTCGATTGAAAAATGTGTTTGAAATACTCCAAATGCCAAAAACTGGGGTTTCGTTATATGGGGGCTACACCCAAAACTTGGATCGATAATAGCAAAGTGCAAAATTCCAATGATCTATCTAACATTGTCGTCACAACGTCGTAAGCAGGCTAAAACACATGGCCTTACTTCGAGTTTGGCCCGCTTTGTGGTGATATACCTCATTTCTGGATTTTGTCAACGTCAAGATGGACTTTTATTCAAAGTTCACAGTATTTCTGACATTAATTCTGGTCATATCCATGGAAGCGATCACGTCAATTATTCTTTTTAATCTATGATCGGTTATTTGCACACCCCATTCCATACACCTAAAGTTGAAACCTCATGTCGATATGATATCTCCGCCTAGATACTTGAAGGAATTTCCTTGTGCGCTAGTTTATTTGGCTGGTAGGCATATTCTTTGGTGATTTGTTCTTCATATGAGCACGGTGCGTTATTACACTCATTAAATTTATAACCGTGACGGCTATATATCCCCACGACTTTTTGGTCGGTTCCTTTTCAATCCCATTACATATGTCCCCATTCGTAGCATTTGTAACAGAATCCAGCAGCTCTTTTTCGGTTGTAAGAGCGTCAAAGATTGTTTACTACTTTTTTCCTGAATTTTACTAAAATTTCGACCCTCAGATATCTAATAATGGTCTCACAGAACTCATATTTTTTTCTTAATGTCCCCATAACAAAAGGGATAGAGTCGGGTTTTGTCTTCCGGACGGACTGGACTTCAATCTGTCTGTGGTTTATGGGCTCAGCTTAAAACACCTCGCAGATTTTTAGCGCATCTACATAACTGTGGCCAATTCTGGGTTTTATAACAATCGCATTTGGTCTCATTTTTGGTCTTTTAGTTCGTGGTCTCATCGTGCTCAATACTGTTTATGATTCTATCTCAGCTCCTAATTAAATTACTCCATGTTGAACAGATGTTTCATTGTTTATTTATGGTCTCATTACTTCCTCCTCTCACGTTCTCATTTGGAGTATTAACTCCTGTCAGGATAAGTCGCTGCAATATGCTTGGTACATTTGATGTAGGGCGAGCGATATTTATCATATTTCTCTTCTGCTCCGAATTTACAGGTATTCGCTTTGTTCTTAAGCATAGGAAAATAACCTTACACTTTCTCCTGCGATTTTTTGAGGTTTCAATTTTTGTCATCATAATTAAAATTGGGTCTTAACTTAACTCATTTGTAATCATTTCTCCTGCGGAGGATAACGAGGTAAAAAATTAGAACGTAAGGTTTGATAATGAACTTTAGCCGCATTTAGACCTAGCCCCTCTGTGGGAGTTACCAGTTATAGTGGACCGATATTCCCCATCTTCGAACTTGAACTAAGTTTGGAAGAAAAAATAAGATGGGCAAAGTTTGGATGAAATCTAAAATTTTCTGAAACGGATTTAGTCCAAAGAAATATGGGGTCTAGAACCAACATTTCGATAAGGCACATTTTCACTGTGTTAAATAGTATAGTATACATAGTATAGTAGTATAGTATACCCTCATTAGCCATAAGGCTGAGGGTATAATTATCCATTAAAAGTTTCTGAAATTTGTATTATTGTTTTTCATAATCCTTTTTTAGAAATAGAACCACTTTTTTTAGAACATACCACTTTTTGGTATGTTCCCTATATTTTCGTTTCAAGTACCTGTCAGTATATCTATGGTGGAGGGTATCCAAAGTTCGGCCCGGCCGAACTTAACGCTTTCCCACTTGTTTATTTTTGAATTCTCACAAATAAAGAAATGTCATATGATTTTATGCGTCATGTTTTTTTTAGAATCACCTAATCATTAAGGTTTTATATAATCTTATGTAAACCTCTTCAAAATATGATGCTGGGATACGAGGTTTAAAAAAAGTCATAACCCTAAGGTAATTTGTTCTTAAGGTGTTACCATCCCATCTCCTTTTCAACATTTAATCTGTTTTCTGTATGAGTTCCTGACTTGTTAGGGTCCACGGCTCTATGTTACTTGATTTTTTATGCCAGAATATTCCGCATATGATCGTAAGGCATTTGTTTATAAACACCTCCATCTTTTGAGTAATTCACAAGAAACCAGGTATCTTTTGTTTTTAATTTTATGTCCTTAGTTTTCTTGATATTAATCGCATGCCTACTAATTTCGAAGGCAATTCAGATATCTTGCGAGAGAAACAAATACAATAAAGTCTTCAAAATGTCATGAGACATTCCACGGTATATCTCTTCTGATATCTCTTCTGAGAGCGGACTTTATTCATTCAAATTCCGCATTCATTCGTACATAGTTCTTATTATTCGGCTTTTTTCTATGGAACTCCCTTTTTTCACACTGCTTCACATATGACAGTTCGCCTGATGGTGTCGAAAGCTTGCGATGCAAAATTTTTTGTAAATTTACAACGTAGTCTTTATTTCACGTTTCTTTTCAATCTGGTACGATATGAGTAGAAGTTACTCTGTCGCGATTCTGTCATCGGCTTTTAGAGCTTCCACCAGTAAAAAAATTCTTCAACAAATGTTTTTCTTTGTTACTTTGTAGTACAGGCGAGTACGGTTATAACGAACTCCTAGGAACCAAGAAAATGAGTTCGTTATATACAAGGTTAGTGAGGTTCAAGGTTCAGGTTTTGTGGCCTTTTTAACAAGTCTTAAGATGCTTGCATGAATCTCACAGTACAGTTGACAATTTTTTGTAAAGGTTACCAGTGTTAGTGTAAAAATTAACTTTTGTGGGGATTGTCATTACGTATATTTGTAGCAAGTTCGTTATTACCAAATGAAAATATATGACAACTTATTACTGGGACCTAATAAAAAAGTTCGTTATATCCGTAGTTCGCTATAAGAGTAAAGATTTGTATGAAAAACATGTCTTAAAACTTCGGAACCGGGAAATTGAAATATAATCAATTTATCAACTTCTTGGGCAATTTCATCTCGAAAACTGCCCCTGCATTTACATTTCGAAAACTGTCCCTAACGCTTATGCGCACTATTCGCTTACGAGTATTCTTACTTGGTGATGTTTTCTTGTGCAGGGAGATGGAGCCGCAAATAACTAGCTGGATGATTGACACAATTATATGAGTCGCTCAATGTTATGGTTTTAGACTCTACACTCATGCCTTCTCATTATGGAACGTGAGTTAAACTCGCCCATAAGAATCATGATATCACCTCTCCAAATTTCTTTCTTTCACAGTATGAACAGTATTTTCCCAGGGTGTCTTTATAAATAAGTGTCTTACATTGCTCTTGAATCGATCCATTATTACACGGTCAGTATTGGCTTCCATGTCTCCAACGCCTAATTTTTATTCTTCGCTTTCATAATGAACTCCCAACTCGCTTTCATAATGATATGTCCCCAATATGAAAATGTCAAATAATTTTTATTACCAACTATTACTGATACAACCATAAAAGAAAATGCAATCCCCTAATCCGGAAATAATCAGAAATCCAAAATAACCGTGCTTTATTGAGTAACGATTTTTCATTTTATTTAATCCCTTTTTAAAATATATTTTCCCAAATTTGTTTTCATTTGCAAAAATTTGGCAACCATTAGCGTCACATCATTATTCTATGCAAACACAGTGTCGCTTCCTTTGTTTATATTTGTGTCTGTGTACACTTAAAATCCGATTCTCCTTTAATGTTTGATCAATAATTTTTGCAAATACCAACAAGTACCAGCAGTGAAAGCTAACATAACCTTTTGACTAGATGTTGAACAGTTATAACAACAACAAAGACAAGAGAAACAACAACATTAGGTAAAGCAACAACACGAAATGAAAGCGACGAGACCATCGACAGCAACAATTCGTTCCCCACCTACCTCCTTTCTCT